CGAGGGAGAGAAGGGGAGACCTGAAACCAGGGTGAGAGCCACTCGGTTCCTCTGGTGGCAGAACTCAACAGGCCACAGATGATTTTTTTTAATACGTAACACTCTTGGTAAAGTTTATCCTCACAGGCTTAAGTGAGAAAGAGCCCAGGAGGTGGTAAGACAAGAGCTTTCCCTGGGAAATACTGCAGACAGGACAGGACAGACGGGGCTACCGTAGCTGCGTCTACGCGGGGAACTCTGGAAGTGATTACACCATCACCACAGAGGAGATTCCTCTGCCGTGCATGTCCATGGACAGGAAGGACCCAGGCACTGGGAGCAGCACACAAATGAGACATTCAGGGGACAAGAAAAGGGCTCCAGGCATTGAACATCTCTCAGGGCATTGAAGAGCAGGGCAATTCACCAGAGCAGTTCCCTCAGCTCCTCCACGTCACTGCGGCCCTCCACCTGGGGTACAGAGAGAAGCCTTACCTGTGAACCCCTTCTGGCTACCAGATCCTCAGAGGCTGCTACAAACGCATGCGCAAAGTACCCCCTCCAGGCTGCAAAACCCAGGTCCCGGCCCCCACGAGCATGGGCTTTGCAATTCACAGCCACCACGCTGGCACTAAGCGTCAGCAGCTCAGCCCCGAATGTGCCCCCCCTGCAGACACGCTGATCTCCGCCCACCGTGAGCTTCCCCGGCACCGCCGCTCGCCCGGCACGTACCGCCTGTAGGCATCCAGCCCGACGACGGCCAGGCTGTAGGTTTTGGTGGAGGAGCCCTCCAGACCAGCCAAAGGCAACACTTGGTTCAGGTCAGGCTGACTCGCTGACGGGGCATTGACAAAACTCTGAAGCAAGACAAATCACACCCAAGTCTGTAGCAGCCTTCCTCTCCGGAACACCCCTCCCTGTCTCCGGCAGGACAGCGGGGCCTTCCAAGGTGCATCTCATCGGTGGGAACAGGCAGGAGCCAGCCTCAGACTGCAGCCGAGAGCGGTGCCTTTGGAGACGCCACATCTGCCAATGTCCTGCTGCTTCTTCTGGCTCACCTTTTTTCCCTGGAGCGTTAGCACTGATCTCCTCACAGACACTGCCTACTCTAGCCTGTCATTCTCTAGTCTTGGATGGGGCTGGATGGACTGGGAGCTTCTCGGGGCAGAAGCCCAGGCTGCCTAGACAGGTATAAATAAAAGGTTGTAGGACTGCACACAGATGAGAACACAAATCTCTCTGCTTCAAAATGCAAGTGTTTCCAAGGGCTGTGTACTCTGAACATCTCTTTCAAGGAAATCTTTTACGCGCTCCATGAGGATGGAAAAGCTAAGTGCAAGGAAAGGCAAGTCTGGCCTGCCCAGCTCCCCTCTGAGGAAAGCAGCATCCTCTCCCGGGGTTAAAGGCAGGTGCCCGAGTACCATCCCTAAAGACCTCCCGCTGTACTCAGATAGGGCTTCTCTCCTTTCAAACCACCGCCCCCCGTAACACAGCTTTGTTTCAGGGTGGAGCAAGGGCAGTTTTGAATGAACCCTTCCTCCCCTTCCGTGTTCACCTGGCAAAGTGACTCTGCTATAGAGCACTTTGTGCAGGTCTGGCTCAGAGGTCTGTATCACCTGGGTTAGGGAAAAGAGGCGCTTAAGAAAATCTTCCGGCTCTACCAACACCAACACCTCTTTCTCCTCTTCAGTCTTCACCATGGGGCCATCCTAAAGAAGATGAAATCATTTCCAACACGAGCAGGGGTCCCGCATGAAAGCAGACAGCAAGTCTCCACCTGTGCAGAGCCCACACTGTAAGAGGCACCAAGACTCGCAAGGCTACGTCAGTACTACGCTGGTGAAAGACCATGGCTGAACTGAAAGGTAAAAACCCTCCCCGAAGAAGCAGATCAGTGAAGGTGTGAAAACAGCCTGGCGAGGAAGGCAGTGACAACTGCCGAAGTTGCTAACTAAGATGAAAGGACACAAAATGGCTTTGTCTGCACCGCACACTGTTAGACGACCACGTTATCTGCACCTACGTTATGTGTAGTCTATTATATGACCGCAGCATCTGCAATGTTTTATCCAGCAACGGCAAAAATTCGAGTTCTGCCTCCGCCTGAAATTCCTGTAGTGGAGCAGGAGAACAGCCTACCTCAGCCTGCACTGCCACGCAGATACCGCTTGACACAGAACCTTCCGAAACCAAGCTGAAATCGGAACCGTATTTGGTACCAGAAGGTACCTGCCCTTTCAGGTTCCCAGTAAGCGGGCTTCAAGAAGCAATCACTGGGCTTTCCAAACGAGGGGCCCTGCAGCAAATTTGCCCAGCCTCTTCCAGACGTGCAGCCGTTGCCCGTGGCAGCATGCCATGCACAGCATCTGGCCTGGAAATGCTGCCGAGTACCCAAGCGAAACCTCTGTAGCGATGACTTGTAGTGGTCTAATTCTTGCTTACTACAGGTTCCCCGGGCTCACCCTAGAGGTGCGCCTGCCTAAAGCAATGAGATGTAGATGTTTAAGACATTGGCTTTGGAATAATCTGTGTGAGAATCACACCCAGCTCCATTCCCCAAGCTAACTGGTCACCAGTAATCAGCGTTTCTGAGGCTGATGACTCCGATGCCCGGCCTAGAGAGGCAAGTCAAAGCTTTCTCCTCACAGCACATCGGTTGCCACCTTGCATGTACAGAGAAGAAGAGAAGGACTCACTGGAGTGGACGGAGTGCTTGGCACGTTTCTCCTCCAAGTTATGCTGCAGGGAATTGCCTGAGGCTCAAAAGAATATTTGCAGTCCAAGGAACTTAAAACCTTCACCCAAGCGTCTGAGCCGGGATCTTTGAGGAGACCTGTGGAGGAGGACAGAACAACGCTGACGTGAGAAAAAGAGGAATTTCCTCAGCATTAATCAACAACAACAAAAACGCAAGTGGAAAACGAGGAATTCTGCAAGCATGGGAAGTCTGGCTTCCTCCAGCACGTGCGCTTGCTGGCTGGATCGCTGACCGAGTTATTGACATCATCACTGACCATCTCTGCAGGCACCTATAAAATTGTCCTTCTTCACTCCAGCCAAGTACCTGGACAGCGACAGGCAATTTGCCACAATGACTGTAAAAATCAGCTCGTGCATTCTAGGTTACTAACGGCAAACTTTCAAAGCCGGCTCTTCTGTTCCCCCAAGAACAAATTTTATTAAATTTGTAGAAACTTAATTATTTTTGAAATAGCGCTCTCTCTGTGAAAGAATACTGAAATTAGCCAACAGGCCAAGCGGTTCGTAGCTAGGAAGCCAGGTTTCACCACCCGTGCGCGGCCCCGACAGACCTCCCTCGATGCTCACTTCCTCCCCGCTCCCATCGCTCTTGGGCACGCTGCTACTCCAGCAGCCGGGCTGGACACACACGTGGATGTCACCGGGGAGCCCACGGAGAACGTGCTCTTAATTACTGGCTCTGCAAGTACTGTCAATCGTAGCTAACGTGAGTCGACACCATCCATTAGGCACCTTCCTTACAGCTGTCCGTAACCTCGTCAAGCCAAGTGTTTGGACGGTTTTGACAGATACCTGCTCTAGACTGAGTTTACTTGAGACGTTTCCACAAAATAGCACAGCTATTTCTAAGAATGCAAGGGGAGGGTTAACAACATGCTGCTTGTCCATGTTAAAAATATCAACACCTCGTTTGACGAGGGCGCTTTGCCAGCGGGACTGCCCGGCCCAGCCCCAAGCTGCTCCCTGGGGCAGGACGGACCTCAGGGCACAGGGCTGGGTGCTGCAGGCACAGGACAGGCAGAGAGCTCCTCCGTGCTGCCTGCGCTCCCTCTGCCGGCACCCGGGAGGAGGAGGAGAAAAGCCTCTGGCTGGCGCAGCAGTGAGGTGAGGGGTGGAGGGGAGGGTGGGGAAGGCAGGAACGGGGCAGAAGAGATGAGCAAGAACTAAACTGATCAGCACCAGGACAGAGGGGAACGTGAAACCCAGGGGCAGAGAGAAACTCTGAGGACTCGGTGGGTGCTGATATAATTGCCACAGTGGAGTTTTTAAAGCGAAAATCACACGGTGTTTTCTCTGGCGGGCTGTGCGTTACACCAGCCAGCCTGCCTCACCAGGCTGACCCTGCGCAAATGGGATCGCTCACCTGGAGAAAGGCCGAGAAAATATACTTCTGGAACCTCCACCACCTCCCGAGCACCGGCTGTACCCACGACTTCACAGCAAATTCCACAACAGAACAGATGACAGTATTAATCCTACAGAGACTTTTCTACTGGCAGAATAATAAAGACAACAACAGGACTGTGTTGGAGCAAACAGGGCGATGAACGGGCCGGCAGCCCTGCTCTGCCTGGGACAGGGGATTAGAAACACGCTCCAGGCAGTCAGATGTGTCAGAGGATCAGCAGCGGCACTTGCGAGTGCCGGGAAAGAGCCAGGATCCCAGGGACACGCTGGCAGCCAGCGCCACAGGATAAGCCACCTCATTTTCTGCCAAGGAAGCTCCGTGCCGTGACCTACGGGGTCCTGATGCCCTGAACGTCCTCCCTGACCAGGCAGAGCAGCTCTGGAAGCAGACCCAGCCCTCTGTGAGGCACCTGGAGAACGTATTTCAGGCACTGGTATTTCCAGAGGCTTATCTTGGAGCTTCGTCCCAAGAAGCGAGTTCCAGATAGCAGGCAACTGCCCCGCCCGAGCAGGCGATCCAGCTTGGGGCTGCACGTCTTCTTATCTCTTCATAACGACCCTTGAGGACGTGAGCAAATTAACAGCCGGGAGCTCGCCGCCCCAGAACTAGGTCAGAAACACACGCTCTATAAAGACGAGCTCCCAGAGCCCTCTGGGGCTGAAGCGTTGCCCTTCCGCTTCCGCAGCAAGGCCCGGAGAAGTTCAGAGCTCACTTTCCAGAGGTGCCAGCCTGGGCCTGTCAGCCCCGGAGCTGGAGGGTTGGTCCTCTCTCCAGGATGCTCAGGAACGAGGCAGGGACCACAGCAGCTGCCCACTGCAGCTAGTCTGCAGTCACGACAGCAACGACAGAGATAATGAAGCCGAAAGAGCCCGATAAACAGCCAGGGGGCCGTGTGGGCCCCAGGCCGAGGGCTCAGAGGGGACAGCCGGGAGGCCCC